GAACCACGCGTACATTACGTCTCTATGCACGAGGGGTTCTTAGCCAGAACCACTTCTCTCCTTGTAGAATACAGGGCGTTTTCTTATGCCCCCCAAGCCTAGACTAATAACGTTCGCGTTCAGCACCGAAAAATTATGTTTGGCCTAAGACGAAATCTTTACTCATGATGACAGTAATCGGATATCCAATATGGTCTACCGTTTAAGCAATGATAAAGGCGATTATGTTTATGTATTGTCTTATTCAATTAGATAAGAACCAACAAATATTTAGTAGGTTTTTATTGACTTACGTTAGTCATATTCGGTAATGTGTTTACGGAGCGCCTTACCTTTAGAGGGTATCATTATCAAATACAGATTAATGTTGTGGTTATACTACATCAATCAATCGCCGACACGATATTAATATCCAATTATTGGACTGACATGTGTAAGGCTAAAGATGTTGGAAATGCCATCATTAGGAGTATCCTTGTTTGGATTTTAACCTCTTTAGCACGGACAGTACAAACAGACACAGCCGGCGCGTCTAATAATAAGTTATCCCCCACTAATCGCAACTTGTGATTTATGGCCAAATCGACACTCCGGAACAGCTAGTCTTTGTGACGGAGCTGGAGCGATAAGTGTAAGTTACGGCGCGCAATTTGTTAAACTGATTTCAATTTTGGAATAAAAAATAAAAGTTCAAAGTTCAGGACAGTGACCATCAATTTACTTCAGACCAAAGAGGTTGGAAGAGAGTGGCAGTTCAGAAATATGACTGAAAAGCAATGAAATAAGTTTAAAACTATTAAAGTCTGAAACTTTATTATTAATAATTAGATAATTTAACGATGTCTCTACACAAAAGCTGAAATAACTCCCTGTCTTCTTAACCCCGCAAAACATTTGACGACGGTGTTCGTCGGCATTTTTCCCCGTCATTAGCGCCGCGGTTTCATAACCGACACGGCATTTAGTTTTTACGCAACGGCCCACGAAGCTCGAGAGGCGAGGTTAAGCGCAAGTCGCAACTGTTTTTAGTCCGGCCCTTTAATTGATGGCCAAGCGGAGTTACAAACTAATCCCCCGGTTAAGTTTAAACGCTCGTTATGATCGTATTGGAATCGTGCTGCACAGCACAACTTTCGATTTCAAATGGGATCGTGAACTTTAAGTTACGTAAGAAACAGATGCCGATATCTAACCCTATTTTATCCACATGATTCAGGTCTTGCTGGAGCAAAGGAAAATTCTATTTGGAATTTTATTCGACGCAGAAAATATACGCTCACCAAGACCTAGAGTAAATAGAGGTGGAATTCTGAAAGGTTTTTACGACGAATATTAAAGATCAGAAAAGAGAATAAATCTTTTCCTTTTTAATGGATTTGTAATAACGGTTTTCTTAAATCATAACGAAACTTTAGATCCATCTGATTTAAATATTCTGTGAATTTGTAGAACCAAGAAAAGATCAATAACTACCCACACCGTCTATTCCCTCGACATCTTCACCAAAGGGATCAGAATAGAATTCCAATATTTCGCCCACATAAATCAACCAGTGCTATTAATAATATTAGACATAATAGCTGCCTATCAGTTATTCTTTTAATATGGCGTCGAAATATAATCCCGTGATATTACCATACGAAATACAACAAAGTAATCCGTCGCCACCCCCGCCTTGTGACTCACTGGGGTGACCTGGGGTAGTAGTTACCCCTATGTAACCAGGGGCAGCCGCGGCCTTGGGGTTCCGTAGTAATTAACGCCGAATTGGGTTGCTGAATGGCTGTTATTTTTGCCATCCCTAATGCAATTTCACCTCTTCCCAACTGTTGCAGAGGTGAACTATTTGCTAGCCAATTATAGGGTGCATTAATTTAAACTTCCTTTTGTGTAACTAATGACTGTATTGTGCATTCATCAGAGCAATGAGCATGGCTATTTTCATGGGTATTCTAATTTGAACAAACATAAACAAAGTTGATGGACTGATTTTTGTATTCTTGAAGGTATTTTAAATGAAATATGCTTCACTCTATAGAAGAATCTAGGCATTCAATATTTCTTCAACTGAGTGGTTTTTCCCCAACTGATATGTGACTAGTGTTTTTATTACCTAATTGTTGCAATAAAAACATAGCTGCTAGTAGTATGAACAGCAGGTAGTATAAACAAACAGTATTATTTCTAAGGTTAGCCAACATGACGTAATAGACAAGATGCCTCCATCACAAAGTTGACACAAATCAGTATTCTCAAACTGTAAAATGCAAAGCAAACATGTTTGACATACTGAGTGGAGTAGCAAACGTTTGAATGCTAATATGGAAAACTAACACCGATGTAGGGATACTTGACCTTGTTAACTGACCATTGAAATCCAATTACAATATTTGCTGATAAATACAGGAATAATTTTACATGATGTAAACAAATAACATAATTAATAATTGTTACTACTGATCTAAAATTGTAACTTCTTCTTTTATTTTGTAAAATGTATACTTAACCCATTATAGACTAGCGGTCCCATATGGTACCACTTTTATGTGTGTTTTAATTTGGCTCTATACATTAACACGTGAAAAGATGCAGTGCTCTGATTGATGCAAGTCGTAGCCAATAGATATGGTCTATGCTTCTAGGAATAAAAATTTACAGTTATTCTTTTCAGTTGTGTGTAATTAATGATTGAAGTGAGCGCATCAAAATTTTCTCTTAAAAATTGACGCGCCATTCAAGTAAGTGATCATATTTTTTTTGTGTGATAGTGAAATACTGATTTTGTTACAATCTTGTATTCTCCATAAGTGCTCTTATTGTGAAATGGTGTAAAATTACGTCGATAAATAATAATAATGGGAAATATTGTATGTCAAAATTACTGGTACCGTACGGTACCGCTAGCCGCTTACCGTGTCTTTTTAATTATTTTATGATTTTTAGTTTTTACTGTATTTATTGGGAAGTATGTGATATATTCAATGGTATATAAGGTATGCAGGAAGATAAAGTAAAATAGTTTCCTATACTTTACAAAACCATGGGTTTTTATTTATTTTAGATGTAACTTATACGAAACATTGGCAGTTTTGGAGGACGATGAAGGTCCCAAAACGAAGCAGATATTTATAGAACGAACTTGAGATAATTGCAACTCTCGAACAATATTAGAGTATAGGAAATGTTACATGGAGCTAAGAGCAGTGTGCAATGCCAAGCTCCATTCCAAATTTTTGAATATTCAAAGATAAAAATGAATATTCCTTACCCAATATACAGTTTTTTACATTTAATATCACTTCTGTTATTTGCTTGTATATTAATACATATAATAATAATAATAAAATATATAATTAACCCTATTTTTATAAAGCCCATGATAAAGTTATGTTTTAACAGACTGACACGGTAAGAGGCTAGCGGTACCATATGGTACCAGCATTTTTTTTCTAGATTACAGGTCGGATCATTTTTTTAATGCTTGTATAGCATTATGTAGACCATAATTATGAACATATTTCAAAAAAACAAAAATCTGACACTTTAAGAAAACTCCGTCTATAATGGGTTAATGCTTGCTATACCCTTGCAGGGTGCATGTGATGTGCTGCCCTACCATTCACCAACTATCAAACCACATGTAATGCAATGCAATAAATGATTTGATTTGATTTGAAAAAAATAGTGAATTAGTGACTGTGTGTCCTAAGTATTGGGATACTGTCAAAGTAATTCATATTAGAACTTATGAAAGATGTGAGCCAACTTGTAAGTTTGAAAGATAATAGTCCTGATTTTATTGTTATGATAGTAAAATGATTGTGTGTGTTCTACTTATTTATTTTTTTATAATAACTAAGTCAAGCTTAAAAACTTTACTTTTTGAGCAATAGTATTAAAATTTGTTCTAGTAAACAGTCTTAAGGAATGATTTCTATGTTAAATATGTAGAAGTTTCAGATAAGTTACCATAGTTTTTAGAGACAAAATCTTAGATAATGTGTGTCTTAAATAATGTATTATTGTTAAACTGTGCAATATAACGGGTACTAGCCCACATCAATATGCTTAAATGTTAATTAATACTGTAGGTACTCATTAGTCACAAAAATAGAACCTTGATTCAAGAAATACAATCCACAGCATAAAGACTGGAGAACTTGAAATGTTAGGAGTTTTATTTTCAAATAAAGTCATGGAAATGGTGGAGTGACTTAAGCCGTTTTGCAAATAAAACATAATCGGCCATCACCCTCACATTTTACGGAAAGGGAAGGGCCCTAAGTAAACCCGCATGGTACGATTTACTGCCCCAAAGCATAACATGTTTATTCGTATACCTTGACTTAAAACTATATCAAATCATCATTTAAACTCATTATACAGTATCGTGATCATTTATAATTACCTTATGAGCCTTGTACAACGAGAAATGCAGCAGATAAGCCAAGAAAACGAAGGGACAAATCCTTGCACAACCACTGAACTGCAATTGAATGCAAATAAATTACACTAGCACGAGCTTTACACTAGAACAATGAAATTAATAACACAAAAAATATATCACGAACTTATTGTGTCATAAAACATTCATTATTTCGAAAAGAAATGGAAATATTGAAGCGTTTCCCAATACAAAAACCGGCGACAGCCACACACCCGTCACTACAAAAATCTTTACAAAACTGAAGAAAATAAACGAATGATGGCGCCACTGTACTTAGCGCAAGCGCTGTCAAAAATTGTAAAGGTCTCTCACATGTGATAGCTGAGCTATAATGAGCTCTGCCAGTTTTTCGTCTTTGTTATTATTATTTTAAACAATGAAAATTATTATTTATAACATATTTTTTTACATATTAATAATAATAAAGAAGAAATGTTTATGACTTATTAGTCGCAAACTAATTTTTTGACCAAATTAATAATGTGAAACAGAACGCTGCAATGTCATACGGTACGGCTGTCAAGTTGTCAACTGTCAACAAAAAGTAAAAGCTATGTATGTACCTACTTTTCTCTATGAGTAAAAGAGTCAACAAAAAAGTTGTGAAATATTTTCTAAAATTAGAGAAGAGAATTAAAATAAAATGTTGGAAGAAGTAAAACGTGTAATACTAGTTCTCTCAGGAAAAGGAGGAGTTGGAAAGTCAACTGTGAGCACCCAGTTGGCTTTAACACTCAAGGAACATGGTTTTAAGGTTAGTTTTCTTATCAAACTATTTTTCTAGTCCGATAATTTTTTTATCACAATAATAATGTTTTTGCTTAGCAATTACAATAGTAATCCTTTTTTAATAGGTTGGTTTGCTGGACATTGATTTGTGTGGGCCCAGTGTTCCTTACCTCCTGAATTTGGAAAACCAAAGTGTCCATCAAGGCCCTGAAGGTTGGATCCCTGTGTACTTAGACAGCGAACAGAAGCTAGGGGTGATGTCTATAGGCTTCCTCCTCAGTTCCCGTAATGATGCTGTTGTTTGGAGAGGCCCTAAGAAGACTTCGATGATCAAGCAGTTTCTAGAAGATGTCTGCTGGCAGGAACTCGATTTCTTAGTTATTGACACACCTCCAGGTACATAACTATAAAAATATATTATAAATGTAGATCTTTTGTGATCATTTTATTGATTTTTGTACTCTAAAGAAATAATAACTTATTAAAATACTTATCTATTTACAGGAACCTCAGATGAGCATATAACAGTGATGGAGAATCTCCGTCAAGTGCCCCAGTGCGCAGCGATAATTGTTACAACTCCTCAAGAAGTGGCAATTGAAGATGTCAGGAAAGAAATTACCTTTTGTAGGAAAACTGGAATACCTATCATGGGCATTGTTGAGAACATGAGTGGGTAAGTAACAACTTATTCACAAGTAGAAAGTTGTGAATAACATTATTCTTTCTTACTTAGGTCACTTAAGAGGAGTATTTTAAGCAACCATGCATGTTGCCATAATAATAAATTGTCTACTAATAATTGTACATTTAAAAATAATTTTATTTGTAACAGAAACAGTATCTTGTTTACTCAATTCCAGATATGAATGCCCAGTCTGCAGTGAATGTACCAACATATTCTCAAGTGGAGGTGGAAAGTCATTGGCTGAAATTGCCAAGATCCCATTCCTTGGCAGCCTGCCCATAGACCCCAGAGTGGGCAAGCTGGCAGGCCAAGGTGTTGCCGCAGTAAAGGAAATCCCAAATTCCAACACAAGCAAGGTTTTCAGTGAACTTGTGAAGCATCTTACAGACTCATCTGTAAATGGTGAATGATTATGTTGAGTTAACATAGAAAGTGTTTGAAAGAACAAGAACATTAAGACATTGCAATAATTGTGTATAAAATTATGGGGAAAAGCTAGTTTATAAGAGAAAGTACTATTTTATATCAAGTGATATTATTTTTCATTAGTGTATAAAGTAAAATAGTATTGGCAAAGCCATGGTGAGGGTGTTTTCTGTTTTAAAGATATGAAGTTCAAAAAAATATTTGTTTTCCTTTTAGTATAATACCACTACCATCATGTTGCATTGCTATAAATCCATTCCTTTTATTTCTTTGATATTGTATATGCAATTGACCAAAAGAATAATGTAAAAATACAAGTGAGTTGTAGACAAATAAAATACAGATTTACATTTTATTGTTTATTTGGTCATTTAACATACATTACCACATCATTTATAATGTTTAAATGCATAAAAACTACACAGTAAACTTTTTTTTGTTTCTAAAAATACATTGTATACATAATTATATATCTGTCCCAGTGTATAAATATAGCATTCGATTTTTGGTTCTGTTCAGTGAATATAAATATACATAAGAACACATTTTCTAAAATATTTTCCTTATTCACATTAACTGTAAGTAATATAGTTTTAGTTATTGTTTTGTCACTTTGTCAAAGATATAGAGGTAATGAAAAGGGAAAAAACAGATGTTCTGTTTTTTTGTTTGTATACGCATAATATTTTAAATATTTATCTTAAAATACTATGTTTAATTAATACATAATTAGACATTGAATATTGACATACATTATGCACCTACAGTAAAAAAAGGCATATAAAACACTACAATAAAAAATATCAGCCCTTATATTAAAACAAAATTCTTAAAAGGAACTTCAATAAAATCAAATGGTAATTCAAATATTTTTCATAATATTGTCAATAATTAAAATTTAGTAACAAAACATTTGGTGGAACCTATTTTCAGATAACAACTAAGAATAACAAAAAAATATATTTGATTTCAAACAACATCAATAAAATATGCACTACCCTAGAATATCCAAAGTACCACATTGGAAGTGGAAATAGGAAATCATTTGTACATCCCATTTTCAGTAACATCAAATAAAACAGAAAATAAGACTAAATGAACCTCATTAAGAGAAATCATCCTACAAATAAAATCAATAAATGACTTATAATATTACTAACGGTAAAATTTCAATCAGATCGAATTTTACTTTGACCAGCTAATTAAATTCATAATTTTGGCACAGTTTTTTTAAAACGCCCAAATCAATAAATCAATCATGATCAAGAGAACCATGGTGAATCTTCCAGTAAATACCAATTTGGAATGAATTACGTTTTAATGGCCTTTTCGTAAGTTTTTAAACCACACAATATTGAGTATCAATTTTCCTACTCATCCCGCGTATTCAGTCTTACTTTTATAACGTTCCGTTATAATAAAACACAGCTCTCTTTAGCACAGCCAAATACTTAAACGTTATGTGATTCCTGACAAATAACCCAGAATAATGTAATCAAACCCAGATTATACGTTATTATGCTAATATTAAGAAATGACGCGCGCATGCGTTTTGAGGCGGCATCTATCGCTCAATGTGCGCTGTCGCTAAAGCAAGCCAATTTGTGCCTAATCAAACATCCCATAGATGGAGTAATACCTCAATCACTTTGCTCAAGGAAAACTACTTCAAAGAATCTTAGAAAATATAAATAATCCTATATCTTTTCGTGCACTGCCTTCGTAATTCAATGAATAAAATAACATAACACATTTAAAATACTCAAGAAAACTCAACCCAAAATACTATCGAATACCGTTTGAGTATTTGGCAGCTACCCTCAGCCAATTTAATTGGAGCCCACGGTAGCCGTGGCTTGGCCTTCCTCGCTTAGCCACATGAACTGCCGGATCTCATCGTCGGACGACGGGCAGCAGTGTGGAGGCGCCTTTTGCAGCATTTCGCGCAACTCCTGCCGAACAAAAGCACGATACAGTCGGAAGTCAACCTTATTGTAATGTGTTAGCGTCTAGTCAAGCACAATCAGGTGTGAACGCATTGTTATGTCAATTTTTTCTCACAGAAATACCTTGAGAGTAAGTTTTTAATGTGTTCATAACTGATCTCTGTGGTGGAATAGATAAATATGGAAAGAGGAAAGAAAGGGGACGGTTTTTTTAAGTAAACATACCATATAATAACATTAATGTACAGAATGAAATTCATGCATACTCACTATTTACAGTTATTCTGAAATTATTAGCGAAATCCTTTAATTAATAACTACCTTTCTTTCCTCAATATAATGATAAAATGTGTATAAGGTAGGTAAGTAAGTATGTAAATAAAATAGAATAATGTTTCCGCTTATGTACACAGACGCAGACAAAAATATCTTAATCATCCATCGTAATAATTATGCTCAAATTATAGTATACTCTCTTGAGTAGAGAAAATTTTTAAACAAAACATTAAAATAATCTTGTTTACTTACTTGTAACATAATCGAAAGCGAAATTATTAAAGCCCAATTTAACACGTTAGCATCGTGTTTACAAATGAAATTTTTCACGAACGGAATCAATCATGCAAGTAAAAACATTATCACCTACAAAATAGAGTACAATTTGGGGTGTTGTCTGCGGATGGGTACACACGGGCTAAGTACGAACCCCGACTGCCTTCAACCAGTCGCCCTTCAGAATCTGCTTCGAGATGGAACGCCGTAGCGTCTGAGGATAAATAACTTTTTAAAAAAATAAAACCGACTTCAAATGCGTGAACACAAAAAAAAACTAAAAATTAAAAATATTGCGTATAAAAAAGTTCATCTCCAATTTTCCACCCTTGGGGATGAAATATTTTCTTCAAATTCGCATGAAACAACCCTTTTGATAATACCTATTCAACAAAAAAATAATCGTTCAAATTGATTTATAATCGGCGGAGATATTGCGTATAAAAAAGTTCATCCCTAATTTTCCACCCTTGGGGGTTGTTTTTTCTATTATTAAATTTAAATGGGACCACCCTTGAGGTATTACCTATACGCCGAAAAAAGATTTGTTCAAATCGGTTCATAATTGGCGGAGTTATCGCGTAACAAACATAGAAAAAAAAAAAAAAAAATGGCTACTGGTTAACATCGCGCGTTAACTTGGAGCTAAAAATGGGTCAAAGTTACGCGTCGTGTCACAACGCTTATAATAAAAATGTACGAGCACTTGCACAAAATAGTTGTTACAACCAACCTTTTGTTGGGTCTAATTCTCGTCACTACACTGCACAACTTAAAATAATTACGTTTTTTGTCGGTAAAAACGTCCTGGTGACGTCACTTAAGCATTTTTCTTATACTGCGTGCGGTCGTTGCGCGTGCGCACAAAGGAATGAGACCGCTCGGACACCGAGCCCACAGCGTGGTAGGGGTGGGGTTGCCCGCTCTTTTGTTTTTTAATACTACTACGCTGAATATTGTGTGCGGATTGGGTTGTCGTACAGGGGTACTACATGGTAAAATAAATCTCGGAGGCGAAAGCAGGATAATTTCCTTCAAGCAACAATGTCGGTTCTGGTAGATATGACAAATCAGCACTAATATAACTCCGTTAAAAAGGTCACAAGTGACTTTTCTCATATTTACATATTAAATACCGGGTACTCATAATATTGTCCTAAACATAAATAACTTTCATAGTAATACTCTAAACTTTCATAACCCTGCCTAAAATAAGTACAAAAATATGAGCAATTTAAACTTTGAAACGCTCTCCTGTAAAGTTGCTGTTTTTCACATACGACATTGTTAATAGTCATGGGCGATATTAAACTCAAGTTTGATCAAGATTAGAATCTAATAATCTATTGTTTGACAATTATTGTATGCTCTTTGAGCAAATAATGGTAATTCCACTGTTACATGTAACTATTTTACTGATTCTTCACAAATAAAGATTTTATGTTTGTGTTTTACTCAGTGTAACCTTCATGCACAACTTTTGTGACGACTGGATGGCTCGCTTGACATACCAGCAAAATCTTACTGGAAGTCAGCAAGCCCACCCAGTACGTCTCCTAAATGGGCATACATAGCCCGTCAATATTAGGTGGGTATTCATTATATATAAAAAAAACTGAAAGGCTAAAAGTAAGTCATCAAGTTAAGAATAGAAACTAATACAAACACGCACATTAAAATCGAGGACACACTTGGCCGTTAACACTTCATAATTAAAATCAAGGACACGTGGCCCATAGGCTCACTTGGCCGCTAATACTTCATAATTAAAATCAAGGACACACTTGGCCCATTGGCACACTTGGCCCATTGGCACACTTGGCCCATTGGCACACTTGGCCGCTAATACTTCCTAAGTAAAATCAAGGACACACTTGGCCCATTGGCACACTTGGCCGCTAACTAGTTGTGGAACATACATAGCTCCATAACAGCACACATGGCCACTACACTAGTGGTGGAACATACATAGCTCCACTGAATCCTACATAGCATTTACGTATTGAATAAATTAAAAGTTTTCACCATACCTCGAGTACTTGTTGCAAAAAAAACTTCCATTACAACTACATAAGTCTGTTGCCTGCATATTATTATGACTGCAATAATTATAACCCGAACCTTATTCATTACTAGCTCAAATCAAAGTAAAACTATGTTTATTCGTATAGACTAATTAAATTCCATTATTGAATGATCAAACGAACTTACCAAGTGAAGTTCGATCTAAATTATCCTGTTTTCGCCGAAGAGATTTATTTTACCATGTAGTACCCCTGTACGACAACCCAATCCGCACACAATATTCAGCGTAGTAGTATTAAAAAACAAAAGAGCGGGCAACCCCACCCCTACCACGCTGTGGGCTCGGTGTCCGAGCGGTCTCATTATATTTAGAGAAGAGATGACATTGACGTTTACCTCCAGGGAAGAAGATATAGAAATCTTCGGGTTGGGAGGGACCTTAAATCTCTTCGGCGAAAACAGGATAATTTAGATCGAACTTCACTTGGTAAGTTCGTTTGATCATTCANTTTCCACCCTTGGGGGTTGTTTTTTCTATTATTAAATTTAAATGGGACCACCCTTGAGGTATTACCTATACGCCGAAAAAAGATTTGTTCAAATCGGTTCATAATTGGCGGAGTTATCGCGTAACAAACATAGAAAAAAAAAAACATACGGGTCGAATTGAGAACCTCCTCCTTTTTTTTTGAAGTCGGTTGAAAATCACATGACTTGTGCGCGACTACTCGTGTGTGGTTATATCACGTGATGATGATTTGGTTACAAAATTTTTGATTTCGACCTTACGTATTAATGCTTTGAGTCTGAAATCAAGCGCGGTGTTTAGAAAAATGAATTTAACCCTTCATGGCATGAGTGCGGTGTGACAACGTTATCGTGACGCCGCGTTCTCATTCCACCACATATGAACGAATGGAGCTTATGTCCTCCGATTGCCAATAGTTTTTTTTTTTACAAAAATTGGTATTATAAACGACCTGTAAAACCCCTTATCATCACATGACACAAAATCATCCACTACACAGCAATACACGAATCACATTATTATTAATAGAAGCATCACACATATGACGGCAATATAAACGTATCCAATAAATAATAAAAAACTATTGCATGCACTACAAGCATAGATAAAATACGAATGCTAATAAATATAAATGGAAAATAAAATTTTGAATACATAACCTATTTTGATCAGCCGAAAAAAACGCTGGCTCTATTTTATTCTAAGCAAACGTATAGATTTAGTTTCATATTATTCGTCTGAATGGCATGTCACATTTCACATGAACCAATCCAGTTTTGTAGTTTCCATTTTTTTCCAGTTAACACTGGAATGATTTGACTTTTGAAGACTTCAATAGCCCCACCCATCTCACGAATATAGCCCCGCCTACCTTCATCGCGTTCCGGTTTCTCTGCGCGGCGGCCAAGTGGTTAACGACGGGCGCGGGGTAGTCCCTGCCGATGATGCAGTTAGCTCGCTCCTGCACCTCGATCGGCGCCTTCCATGGTTCGTATCTGGTGGTGGTAAGGGTATGGGTGAGTTTTAGGAATGGGGAAATAACTTCATTTTTTATGTTTTTCTTCTATTCACTTAGGCCCAGAACAGACGGTGAAACGCAACTGCAACGAAACTGCAAGTTTCTGATGATTCTTATGAATGAAACTGAAACTGAAAGTTTCAAATTATTAACACCTGTAATATGTAATTTACCTATGTTCCACGAATAAATGCAATGCATGCAACTCAAAAGTAACTATAGTAATTGCAGTTTCGTTGCAGTTGCGTTTCACCGTCTGTACTGGGCCTTACTGTTATGTAAAGATAGTTTGTAACCAATTTGTCCTATCGTTAAATTTTTCTTCATCAGGAAATCGCTTTACTAAATAACGGGGACTATGACACACTAAAACTTGTCGGTGACCTTCAAAGATTTTCCTCTTAACTTCGAATTTTTGCCCGGACTAGAGGGCCTATACAGGGTGTTAGGTAAATGGGTATATGAGCCGACACTAACCCATGTTAACATGGGCATATAAATGGTATGGTGAAGTCAGAAATTTGATATCATCACTTTAATTTTTTGTAATTTTCATACAATATAAATTGTATAGAATCCGATTTGTATGAAATTTAAAATAATTAAAATGAAGATATCAATTTTCTGACTTCACCATACCATTTATATGACCATGTTAACATGGGCTAGTGTCGGCTCATATACCCATTTACCTAACACCCTGTATATTTTTTAGTTTTTACTTGGCCCGGTTTGCACGAATGCGGCAAGGAGAAAAGAGGAGATATTGTGTTTTGAATAATCATATTTCGTTATTTTTGCATCTCTTCGCGTAGCTTCGGTGGAAATGGATCGAGCGAGTTAGCGCTCGCGTACCGCCTTCTCATGAAACCTCACTTCTCAGCTACCCACAGCTCACATCTCTCCTCTCCGCTTCGGTGGAGCCTCTCCGCCTCGAGCGCTGCTGGGGCCAGCCCTGTGTCCAGGGTTGCCAGGTCCAAAAACACAAAAGCCGGACTCTGTGCTTCATTTGGCCGGACATTTTACCCTAAAAGCCGGACATGTGACGGGGGGGGGGGGGAGTGCAATTAGTGAGCTCACGAGTGAGTACTGTCATCATCGTTTTTGCCCAAGGTCCTGATGCGTGCGCTTCATATTATTCTGTGACTCGACTTTCGCCTGGCGCGGCAGTCTAATAACAAGCCGGACAAGCCGGACACCGGTTATTTTGGCCGGACACGCAGCCAAAGGGCGATGGAGCGGGCTATGCTCGGAGTTTCCCTGCGTGATCGAATCAGAAGTGGCGAATCGAGTGGCGACCACGGGCTGGAAGACGTAGCGTGGGCAGGCCTCCTACTAGGTGGACCGACGATCTGGTAAAGGTCGCGGGAAGAGCCTGGATGCGGGCAGCGCAGGACCGTTCATTTTGGAAAACCTTGGGGGAGGCCTTTGTCCAGCAGTGGACGTCATTTGGCTGAAACGAACGAACGAACGCAATCAAAAAGCCTATGTCCGGCTTTATCCGGACGCCTGGCAACCCTGCCTGTGTCTAGTGGGGCCGGCCCTGTGTCTAGTGGGGCCGGCCCTGTGTCTAGTGGGGCCGGGCCTGTGTCTAGTGGGGCCGGCCCTGTGTCTAGTGGGGCCGGGCCTGTGTCTAGTGGGGCCGGCCCTGTGTCTGGTGGGGCCGGGCCTGTGTCTAGTGGGGCCGGGCCTGTGTCTAGTGGGGCCGGGCCTGTGTCTAGTGGGGCCGGGCCTGTGTCTAGTGGGGCCGGGCCTGTGTCTGGTGGGGCCGGCCCTGTGTCTGGTGGGGCCGGGCCTGTGTCTAGTGGGGCCGGGCCTGTGTCTAGGGGCCGGGCCTGTGNCGGCGGCTCGGCGCGGGCTGTGGGCGCGGAGCGACTGGCAGCGATATCAATATGGCCGACTGACGCGGCGCGGCACGTGGCAGCGGTCGTTGCCCTCGGCCGGCTACTACGATAGTGCGTAAACGAATACCGCGCTCAAAGGATGATTTATTTTTTATTTTTTTCGAAACATTCTTTGTCGTTTTACTCGAAAACTAGCCTGAATTTTTTTTTAAAAACACTTGGGTTGTATTTGTATGATTTTATTAGATGCGTTGGTAAAGTATGATCAGTACAAAAAATAACACCTTATATATTTTTTAGTTTTTACTTGGCCCGGTTTGCACGAATGCGGCAAGGAGAAAAGAGGAGATATTGTGTTTTGAATAATCAGATTTCGTCATTTTTGCATCTCTTCGCGTAGCTTCGGTGGAAATGGATCGAGCGAGTTAGCGCTCGCGTAGCGTCCTCTCCTGAAACTTCACATCTCAGCTACCTACAGCTCATATCTCCTCTCCTCTCCGCTTTGGTGGAGCCTCTCCGCCTCGAGCGCTGCTGGGGCCAGCCCTGTGTCCAGGGTTGCCAGGTCCAAAAACACAAAAACCGGACTCCGGTGCTTCATTTGGCCGGACATTTTACCCTAAAAGCCGGACATGTGACGGGGGGGGGAGTGCAATTAGTGAGCTCACGAGTGAGTACTATCATCATCGGTTTTGCCCAAGGTCCTGATGCGTGCGCTTCATATTATTCTGTGACTCGACTTTCGCCTGGCGCGGCAGTCTAATCAAAAGCCGGTCACCGGTTATTTTGGCCGGACACGCAATCGAAAAGCCTAACTATGTCCGGCTTTATCCGGACGCCTGGCAACCCTGCCTGTGTCTAGTGGGGCCGGGCCTGTGTCTAGTGGGGCCGGGCCTGTGTCTAGTGGGGCCGGGCCTGTGTCTAGTGGGGCCGGGCCTGTGTCTAGTGGGGCCGGCCCTGTGTCTAGTGGGGCCGGCCCTGTGTCTAGTGGGGCCGGGCCTGTGTCTAGTGGGGCCGGGCCTGTGTCTAGTGGGGCCGGGCCTGTGTTTAGTGGGGCCGGGCCTGTGTCTAGTGGGGCCGGGCCTGTGTTTAGTGGGGCCGGGCCTGTGTCTAGTGGGGCCGGGCCTGTGTCTAGTGGGGCCGGGCCTGTTTCTAGTGGGGCCGGGCCTGTGTCTAGTGGGGCCGGCCCTGTGTCTGGTGGGGCCGGCCCTGTGTCTAGTGGGGCCGGGCCTGTGTCTAGTGGGGCCGGCCCTGTGTCTAGTGGGGCCGGGCCTGTGTCTAGTGGGGCCGGGCCTGTGTGTAGTGGGGCCGGCTCACATGTAGTCGCCGGGCACGCGCGCCAGCTCGGGCACGTAGCGGCGCACGTACTCGCCGCTAGGGTCGAGGCGCTGCCCGAGCCGCACGGGGCAGGCGCACGCGCCCGAGTCCAAAAGCGCCTCGAACGCGCTGCTGGAAACCCACATCCAGTTGCCGGCGCAGACGGACCTTGAAAAGAAAAAAGAGACTTTAGAGCCTTGCCACACTGAAGATTGCAAGCGTTTCAAAGCAGAGCGGCGACACAGCTAACACGCGGCGTCTCCGCGACCACAGAATACATAATACACNATAACACCTTATATAACGTTTTGTCACTTTAATTAACGTTTCATGCGCCAAAAAGTAACGATGTTGAGTCGTGAACTATATTAAGAAAGCAGATATGTAGTACCTATTCTTATCACGAGTGAGAATTAATTCTGCAAAGTTAGTGAAATTTATTAAACTAATGTAAACAATAACATAAGTATTGCACATAACTTCATATTTTAATACCTACCTGTAATATTTTTGTTATATTATTATTCTATTTGTTATTCGGTAAAATTCCAGATAGTCGATCAATGTCTTTCGCATGCGGCCGTCACTGCCAACTTAATTTCGAGTCCCAAGACAAAGTAGCGCAGACTTCAAAAACCTATAAATCATCAACAAAAAGCTTAAGAACGTATGACACACCCGAGTTAACCTAAGACAATAATAAATCTAGTAACGTCATTTTATCTCAGACGTTGACTGATGATCAACGTTCGTGTCTCATTCATTTATAACGTTAACTCCACTGTTTCGGGAATTCATTTATTATCCGTGGAATTAAGTTGAAAACGTATTAAGTTAGCTCATGATGGGATGAGAAATGTTGGAAAAGAGATGAGCTAACAATAAGGAAGTACCAAGAGAGCATTCGTTGCGAGCGATTGCGTTTGTGAACTTGTTTGTGGGCTTTTGTCTGTAGACAACTCGTATGTAAATATCTTCGTTTCGATGTGAATATTTGCATCCAAAATAATGCTTGAAAAAAAGTATATTGTACATTATGATGATATCGCTAGGTTTGCAAAATGTTAAATTTCACATGTTTCAATGTTTACAGAAAGAACTGGTCTTCAAACTTTTCAGGAAAAGCTGGTTCATTTTTCACTAATCCAACACCAATTAAATTGACTAGCCCTAATACTTCTATATTTAGACATTTGAATATCTTGTCTTTTTTTGCTTTACAGTATCACTTGCCCTACTGTGTTATCGTCTGATGTTAATCCAAGAAAGCCCACGAAAACTGCGGACAATTTATAAAAATCGCTATCACGGTTCGCGTGCGGGCAAACAATCTACTTAAGTGTGTGTGCCATCATAAATCCACCAGATATTACAAAATGGCGTTTTATCTTGAGATATGACGTTGACGGATCGCTCGTGGTCGCCTGCCCGTTTGTTGAGAGCAAGTTCATTGTTTAAGGAGTTCCTGCTTGATAAATTTGATGATAGTACCTACATTGCGATTTTTCAGCTCGTGCAATACTAAGGTTACTACAGTTTCAGCACTTGAGCAAGGTATATTAGGGTCTATAATCTATCTATCCAAAAGCATTGACGCTATTAAAGATGTTTTTGGCGAATATAAAATGTTTGGATAATTCTTGATAGTGTAGGCCCTTGTCAGGGCACTTACACGCCCTATATAGCTTGCCCTTCCACCTTTTCGGTACCTACAATATATCGACTGGTGGTAAGAAGTCTATCTTATTCTTCTTTCTCTGTACTTTTCCTATTTCACTTAAGGGCTCCATATGAAATAGGTCTCTTCGTTCTAAGACGCTCAGACAGTCTGTCTTAGGTTGTCTAGTCGTTGATCTGAGATCATTCCAAAGTTTTTAAACGGTGGTCTACCACGTCATACCTAACTAAAAGTCAAATAGTGTGCTTATTGCCATTCACAAAGCTTATTAATGTGCGTAATTTTAACCTTTTGTCTCTGATTCTTCATTCCAAATTTCCTCAAAGTATCAAATGTACAAGATCCGCGCAGTCGCTCAACTCAATTTAAGGAAAAATTTGTTCCCGTCAAACGGTTCCTTGACTTCCTTAGCAGGTAATGGTATTAAAATTATGAGCTCTCAGTTTATTCCTGAGGGAAGTCATTAGTTATTTTGTTATTTTTAATATTGGATAACTTGGAAGTAACTTAATAATTTTAATGGCTTTAAAATGTTTCACATTTTTATACATTTTCGAGGATTTTAGCATTTTCACGTAAAAGTAACCTTAAAATTCATAAATAAAATTCATAAAATTTATTTATTGCATTGCATTGCTGAAATACCTACCTTATTCAGAAATTCCTCAATTTTGTATTTGATGAAAAAGAATAACACAGACAAAACTAAGAAGTTTCTTTGAACAAAATCACAAGAAAGAAGTTATAGTTTCATGTTTGTTCAATAGCCTGCCTTTGTGCTTAAAACGCAAAGCGAAACTCGGGAAAAGTACCTACGAGTAAATATTATGCATTTTCTGTAGAACTGGGTCCGTGAGAACATTTTCATGGATGATATTGGAACTAACCAAAATGTGGGTTAGAATGAAAGTGGGTAGTAGTAATATTGTCTCTTTCACCATAGTCATTGAATACAATCAAATACGATAAGTAAGCATATTATTTTTTACAAAAAATAATGACACAAGGCATAATAAATCATTTAACATGGAAAACTGACCGAATTAATGAAACTTTTATCATAAAACACAAGTTCTTATTACCAAAATACAAAGATCACATGTAAACGTTACTTTCAAATCCAATGAAAGTAGATACATACAATTCAACTATTAGGATGGATAATCTACAAAGACCAAAGAAATGCTTGTAATATACATACCATGGCCACGTATTTAACAGAGACCTTGCATTAAGAAGCGTGCCAGCCTCCCTACACGAAGCCCTCAAAATAATTAATCCCGTACATTTGTAAGCTTCATTATTTTCACGACGGATGAAGTAGAGTCTCATTCAATGCGGTCTCGGTGCGTTCATAAAAGGGTAGAAATTGCTTAAAAATATTGCTCGCGCTTTTCACCGTCTGCCCTTTTGTGGATAGTTGCTGTGGAGTTAGAGGAATGTTTTTTTGATGGAAAAGAAGTTGAATGAGCGTTTAAAAAATAATTTATTTAAGAGCAATTAACTACGTCATCGTTTCAGCTGCCTCTCCCAATGATTTTTAGTTTGGCCTATTTATTTAAAACCAAACTTTCATGTCGTCACCATCATGTCGATTGGCAACTACTCATAAAAACAAAACAAATTTTAATGTCCAATCTCAACTAAAATATCAGTTTACCTATTTTAGGGAGTTCCAGTAGCAACCTTATGGTTCTACTTTCAGGTCCTCTTTATCACGTGAGTTGGAAAGTACTCCTAAAAAACAAAATTAACGAGACCATACTCAACTATCTTAGTAGATAAATCAGTGTAAGTTTAGTCTAAAGTCAAAGGACTAACACAAAATATTAAATAACTTCAAATTCACAACTTACTGTTAGCTAATACAGCTGAATGTTTTGCAAATTCTGAAACAAATAGTAGGGGTCACATCACAATTAAACATTTAAAGAATATTTTCCATTATTTTTTTGTTCTTTATTAGAAACAATAATTATACATAGTCGTAAAGAACTCATCTCTTGAACATGAAAGCAGGTTCCATCAGACGCGTTGCTAATAAGTAACAATTAATTTCACTCAACCCCAACAGATGGCGCTAACCGGACTTAGATCACGATATAGTTTGATTTTTTTCGCGCTTACTCAATGAATTGGCACCATTATTATTTATTTATAGATAATGTTATAATAGATAGGGATAGAGAAGGTACAACTTCTATTGAAGTGGTATACTTATTTTGGCAAAGATTTTTTGAAGCCATTGCCCTGGTTCATCCAGGCTTCACAATGGCATGAAATAATATTACAGACATAATTAAAAACATCCCCATTAGGGTGGTCCTTATTTTTCGACTTTTGAATTATCCCCGGGGCACTTTCTCATTCGATTATATACCTACCTCTAAATATGAAATTGGCTTTTTTTGTTTTTTTTTTTTGGTTAAGATTTAGAGGTCGCTACCAGCTGTCAAAATATTTACAAAAGCTTTGAAGATCTTAAATCATGGTTTCATAAATGTTTTATTGAAGTGTTTATATCACATTTTACGTGCAAATGAACATCGCATATATAGAATAGACAATCGCTTCTTGTCCCCTTCTCCCCTCAACCCCTCTTCTATACCGACCATGGTACCGACGCGTCGAGATACTAACAAGTAAACTCTTATTATCTTAAAAATAATTGATTCAAATATGTATACATTGTACGTACATAATATCTTAGTTCATAGCAACAACAATAATTTTGTAATATTTTTATTTGGCTATGGCTTTAAAAATAAATGAATGTAACAAATACAGATTTTGTTTTTACTTAAAATTCAAACCTTGGTAGCGACCCCTAAATGTATTTTAAAAATTAAAAAAAAAAATAATGAAAGACATAATGGTATATATTCAAATTACGTGGTGCCCCGCAAAATATAAGAAAAAATTTTTTTTTCGTAGGAATAAGGACTAGGGTAAGTCCAGGATAGATGCCACACTTTTTGAAACAGCTCTGTAACTCAGTCAGTAAGTTTTTATCAACAATTTGACCGTAGTATCTGTAAACTTTGGTCTTTCGTCTATGATATTACTATAATTATTTTAGTTTAAGTTATACCGATTCTGAGTAAATACCATTTTAATTGACCTCTAAAAAGTGGGATAGACGCCTAATGTGGGGGATAGAAGACTCACTGTATGATTGCTTCAAAGGATAGATGCCTGATGCAGGGATAGATGACTCGTTAATATAGTTTTTGAATTCTAAGGATCAAATACATTTTTAAATCGTACTATTATTTAAGATTGTTTGTTATTAAATGAATTTAAAATGAAATTTAATATTTTTTATTAAAAATAATACTACTCCTTCTAGCGCAGTCGGGTAGAAAGGTAATTCGATCAGAAGGGCACCCTATTTATTACTTTCCTAAGGTTAGCCGTACTACATTCTTTTTTTCTTCTTACTTGTTACCTGTGACAAAAAGAGCAGGTTAGGATAGATGCCTCTA